CATCATAAGTTAAGTTCCCACGGGTGTCTCTGAGCTTCCCTCAGGTCATTCTTTTCTTCCTGCAGTCTGTGCTTCTGAAGCTCCCGTACCTTGCTGTTTGGCCTCTAAAATATGCTGGCTTCCTGAGCTCCACCCCACTCCCTCAGCTTCTGCTCCGTATCACATGCTTGCTCTGGCTTAATCTTTGCTTAGATCCTCACCATGAAACCTACTCTAGATATTCCTGGATGACTCTCCTCACTCTGTAACAAGTGCCTTTCAGGGGCAAAGCATGAAAACCCTATGATCTGGTTCTCCAAGGTGCCTTGCAGTTAGAATTAGGGTGGAGAGGGGCTTGCCTCTTGACAGTGGAGTTGTGTGCAGATACTGTCTTAACTGTTCTGGAGTTGAATAATGTTAGATACTTTCCTGTGACTAGAGAACTGAGAATCTTTTACCATTGACGACAACAGAAAAAGGTGTGGGGGTGTGGGATTCCCCCAGCATTAGACTATTCACTCCCAAACCTTCAAACACAGTGGCTTCTAAGAAATGTTTCCCAAGGCTTGAATATACCTCTTGATCAGGTTGAGTGGTGAAAACATGTGTTTAACAGAGTAAGGGGATTGTGGAATAGCTTATATTATGCATGCTGTGGCTTAGACCCTGCCCCCTTCTCTCCGCTAATGGCTCAGTGTCTAAAGTTTTCAAAATCAGGAAAAGGATCAGGGACACCCATTTCTAAAGGAGAGCTGGGATGGATGGTCAACTCAAGGCTGTCATCCAAGATGTCTATCTTGGAAGACTCTTCCCACCTTCCCCCTAGCACCCAAGGTGATTGTTTCTTTCAGTGTAGAGCCATAAGTGCAGCAGCCTGAATGGAAGGAGAAGTTTGGTGTGTTTACATCCCCTATAGCTGGTTTCAGACAAACCCCTCCTGTTTGGAATGAAGCTAAGCTAGCTGAAGCCTTCTTTGCTATTGGGATGGTTCTTTTCTCCAGCAGAGAGCCCCACCCCCAGACTATAGGAAAGTAAGGCGGTATCTCTTGATTCCAAAGACCTCCCTAGCAGGAGTAAATCAGTCTTATGAATCCAGTTATGGCTGAGAAAGGCTCACACACGTCCACCTCCAAATGACGGAGTCTAGAACTTGAATACTGAAGACTAGAGTTGGAATTGAGCAAGCATGTTAGATGTGGGCAGTATGCATTGCAGCCACACAGATGGGAATCAGATCCAATCCCTGGTTTTGCAGATTTAAGCTCTAGAGGGTTTTAGACCAGTCATTTAGACTTTCTGACCTCTCTTTCCTTGGCTTTCAAATAAGAAGAAATAACTAATGGTTTGGGAGTGATTTCTTTACTTCATGATCCTATGAGGCAGGTGTCAATATTATAACACCTATAGTATTTCTGTGAGGATTAAATACCATCATTTCTGTGTAAGTGTCCATCACAATATCTGGTGTATAGTTGGTATTTAAAACTATCATTCTTCCGTGGGTTTTCTGAGACCTACATTTTTCTCTCCTGTCCCAAACACAGTATTTTACCTACTGGCATTTTCCTTGATGTTTGGAAAAGAGAGAAGAGACCTAGGCAAAATATTCATTGGCTTCACTGATCCTGAAAGAGGAGAATCAGTTCTTCTCAAGGTCTACATGACGAACAGCTTACTCTTGCACATTCTCTGAGGGGAGCATCAGGGGAATCTTGTCCGATTTGTGATCCCAGGGATGGGTTGAAAATGCAGAGTGGTTTTCATCTTGGACAGGTTCCATGTCAGTCTATTAATTCCCTGAGTCTTTAGTTTGAGTGCTTAGACAGGAATTGGGCACCAGAGCCCTTAACAAAGAATGATGAGAGAGCTGGGAAAGCCAAGGTCACCCACTCCAACCCAGGCGTGCACCAAAGGCTAGGGAAAAGAGAACCTGGAGAAGCGGGAATTGTAGAGGACTAACTTTCTGCAGTGGTGGCGTCCGTGTTTCCTAGCCCTGCTCAGGCAATCTAGTCAGTCCTGTGACTGCAGCATACCAGGACACGGCTGAGAGTCACTCTCCTCTGGGAGAGCAGAGCCTCTGACTCCACCAGGTGGCCCCAGTTAGGTTATATTTTTCAGCTGTTGTCCTCAGAGTTGTGATGGTCAGGCCTAAGAACGTTTCACCCACACCCATCTCTATATTATTCAGGGTTTTCTGAAAACTATTAGGAATTATGAATGAATTTTCTGTGATCTCAAATCAAGCATGGTGGCATACCACCACCACGTAGAGAGCACAACACTATTCCGAATGCATCTCTTCTGTATAGTTTATGTCATCTATGTAGAAACCTTATACTTTCTGTGAATGAGCTCACATCTGTGCTTATATCTTATGTCTTAAAATGCACCTCTGTGCCTTTAAACACACACTTAGCTGACATTTGTATTAATCCAAGACTACTTCATTGAAACACCGCCTGCATGTCATGTCCGCCTGGTCACATCTGATGGCCCCATTGATAAGCCACCCCCAGTACCAGAACCAAAGCCACTTCCTCCCTCTCATTGATGCTGCTGCTGGCTGCACACCAGCCCACTGCAGCAACATTCTCACATGCATACATACATACATGCATTCAGAGAGCTAAAAATAAACAGCTGCTGATGTGCTGCCCGAGGGTGTCCTCCATATGGAGCAGAGTCCTCTGTCCCTCTCAGCTTAAGCCACAGACAAAAACTGAAGGGACTGCAGGGCCTTAAGCTTAAATGGAAACCTTGTAAGACAAGTTACAAAGGTTAGGAGGGCCTGGGGAGAGCTACAATAGCCTGAGTCTCAATGGCCTTCTTTTCCAGACCTTAGGGCCCAAATCCTCTTGGTGACCTCTGGATAATTGTTTATTGGCATCCAGCAAAAGAACTGTAAAGGAAAGTTGATAATTAGGGTAAGAAAGGAGATGGCCCATGCTTGCAACCTGTGTGTAGCCTCTGACTTCCTGTTTATTCCCATTCTCCGATCAGAGACCCTTCCAGGTAGATCCAGTGCTGTCTGCATCGGAGGGGAATTTGTGTGTAATTTTGGGCAGACCTTCCAGTCTTTAGGAATTCTTCCCACCTCCATCGATCAAGAAACCCTTTGTCATGCTGAGGTGTGGCATTTCTTCCAAACACCTCCTATTCAGGCACACACACACACTGAGACACACAGAGACCAAGGGCCATTCAGACTGGTTTGAAAATAACGCTCATCCACTGAGCTCTTTTTTAGGGTCATTATTTTAAGAAGGAAAAAAAAATCTGCTGGTATTTAAGAGTAAAGCTTCTCCTGGCCTCCAAAAGGTCTGATAACGTGGCTAGAGCCAGCATCTGCAGCCTTTTTTTGAATTTTTCCTGCCACCTCAGATGGAAACAAAAGTTGCATATTCACCAATATTCTGCTATCTATTTGTAGGGGCGGATTCCCTCCTTAGTGGTGAGGAGAAAAAGACTGCCTGAACCACCCCTCTAGGCATTCCCGCCACCAGCGCTGATCATCTGCAAAAGGCTACCTGTGTGGGGTGTGTGTGTGTGTGTGTGTGTGTCGTGCACGCTCGAGGTCACTTTCAGGCTTCTCCGTCCCTGTACTGTGAGTCTGTCGGTCTCTCTGTAACTCAGATCATTGCTCTCTGGGAAGCTGTAGCTGGCTGATTCCGTGGGAGACCAAGCAGGATGCGTGGGCGCAGGAAAAAGAAGAGGAGAAAGAAAGAGGAGGGGGAAGGGATCGAGAGCTGGAAAGAGGCGGGGGAGCCGTAGAATCTGTTATTTGCGTCACTCGAGGAGCCGGGGCTGTCTGGCCAACAAACAGAGAATTAATCCGAGTTATAGCCATAGCCTGCTCTGTTACTGTGGCCAGATGCGAAAGGGCGGGGAAAGCACGCGCGCCCGAGTCTGTGCACCGCGGAGTTTGCAATGGGCGGCAGGATGTTTGGGGAGGGGGCAGTCTGGCTGGGCACGCCCCTCGGGGGCCCTCAGCACGCCCTGTGCCTCCTCTGCTGATGGCCAGCCCAAGCCTGGGTTGGCGCCCACCTCGGCCGCCTCGCCTGCTCAGTGGCTGCGCTGAACACAAAGCGCTGTCTCTGAGCAGAAGCCTCTTCTTGCTTGAACCAGACCCACCAAAGAGGAGAATCTGCACGTGACGTCAGCAGCTGATGACTGACGCAGGCTGGCAGAGGAGACTCGAGGCGGCTGCTCCGCGCTGTCTTCATGAGTCTATTTTCTCCATCCCCCCCTTGTAGTGAATTACTAGAACGCAAAACACACACACACACACACACACACACACACACACACACACACACACACACGTGCAGCCTTTAAAAATTTACATTTCCAAAGGCGGTGTGTTGCAAACACCACGCAATTTTGCAAAGCGTGTGTAGGGGATGTGGGAAGGGTATGGATGATCGTCCCCTCCCCCCTATTTGGGGATGTCCATCGTGGATACTGTTAGCTAGAGCTTTCCAGGGAAGCTCTTATGGGGGAAGGGGCTAAGCAACCCCAGTTTCCCCAACATGTAGGAGATCTGGTCAATGGAGACCTGAAGCTCTAAGAATACAACCACTCCAACGCCTTCTGCTTGGGAGACTGTGAGGAGCTTGCAACAGGCAGAGGCATACGGGAGTTAATATGAGGGAGGGAGACTATAAGAAATAGTAGGGTATTTTTCTGTTTTGAAAGACATCTATAGCAATGCAAGAGGGTCTGCAGAAACAAGTGAGGAGGGGGCGCTTGGTGCACCTTTAATGTTTTGGACTCAACGTTCCAGCAAAATGCCTTTGTGTGTGCAGGTTTTTTCAGTACTTGCTAAAAATAGCATCTGGGTTTGATCGTGTTCCAGAAATAGACCGAGGGCTGTACTGGGATAAAAAGCCAGCGAGGGTGGAAGAAAACCTGGACACCACCGCACCCCCCCCCATGTCTGGAAATTAATTGTTGGATTTTTCCTTCCTCTCTCCTTTCTTTATCCAACCCCCCCCCCCCGGTGTTTCTTCTTCTCTTTTAAGGAGTTCCCGTTTGGGTAAGTAATATTATGTCATGTGCATGCCGCAGACTGTAAGTACAAGCTTCGTGCATGCTCGGGATGCATTCTTGGCTGCCTTTTTGCCCCTTCCTAAGTGGAAGAATGAGACTGAGTAGGGGGTGAGGTGTAGCGCTCTCTGTGTGTATGTATGTATATAATGAATTGGGGGCTGCATGCAAAGGAACCGAGAAGGAATTCTTGCAGAGTTGGGAATCACCCTGACAAATTTGAATCAATAGCAGCTGCAACGCTCTCTCTCGTTATGGGTCGGCGCTGGTGAGCTGGGTTCTCTCTACTGCCCTCTCCCCTCCCTATTTTCTCCGTCATAAAGGGTGGCCAGACACGATTTAATGGGCCATCTCGATGCGAGATTAATGGAGACTATGGAATATAGACCAGAACTGCATGGGGTAAAGGTAATAAAGAGAGGGGAGCGATCCCCATTCCGCTGACAAACCTCTCTACTTGCTTGGGTTGGGTAATCAACACCTAGACGCTGGTCCTGGCTGGTCTTGACTGATCCCGCCCTTGGTAGCTGTCCACGAATATAGGTGCTGAAAATTCCTTGGTCCGCAGCAAGTTCAGTTCTGAGCGCCAGGGGGCAGGATTGGCTCCAGCTGAAGCTAACCCCGCCCTGGATGCAAAACAGGGATCCGGAATGGAGGGGGTTAAGGATGTTCAAAGGGGATAGTCGTGACTTCGGTGAGAGCTTTGGGAAAAGGAGGGGTGAGTGGGAAGGAAAAGGGAAAAAAAATTAAAGGAGAGGGAGCGAAGTGTTAGATTCAAGGATGAGCTAAGGCCAGGCGCTCCAGGAACCCAAGACCAAAGCCAGAGGGAGGCTCACCATCTCTTCCTGCAGAGGCTGGCCACTGTCTGGGTCTCCAGTCTCTGGCTCCAACACCTTCCCGCCAGTGGTTTTGAAATATTTCTCCCTGATGATGATGATTATCAAAATAAGAGGCTATAGGTTGCTTATTTCGACCCTGTCCCCCTCCCACTTCGTGCTCCCTCACATAACCACATTCTGCAATTCCTGGGAGAGGTGTAAAGGCGTGTGTTATGTCACTACCCCCGCGTCCTTTGCATCCTAGTCACAGAAGCTCTAAATGACGTACTGGGATGGGAATATTCGAAACCAAAGGACTGGAGTTGCTGGTGCTGTGCACAGAGAATCCAGGCTTCGGAACATCGCCTGGCGCCTGTAAGGCAGTTTTGCAAACCACTAACAGGAGAAATTAGGGAGGATTGTTCTCAAGGTTGACAAATGTTACTGGGGAAATCACCAGCTCTCTGGGGGTGAGTTGTGAGTGAGATTCATTACAATCAGCTCCAGATACTTTGGCAGAACCTGTAGCCAGACAGATGAGGAAGGAGAAAAGTTATTGGGAGAGGGGATCACTCGCACACAAAGCCATTTATACTGATTGACTCCTTGGACTAGGGTGCATCCTTAAACTGACCCACAAGAGTAGCCAGCCTGTAGACAGTGGGGGAAACGAAGCACTCTTGCAGTCTACAATAAGCTTATATGCATGCAGGAATATTGTATATTTGTTCTTTTGAAGCTCAAGTCGATGAGGTTATCTGTGAGGAGGGGGCACAGGATAGAGAGGGGTAGACTAGGTAGTCCCTGTCCCACCTGGCAACAGCCCTGTCGTGAGTGACGACCTACATCAGGGCAACTGGATTATAGCCCCTGGAGGGAAAAGAGAGTGAGTCGAGTTAATTTTAGCTCCAAAGGTCCCTTTCTGGGCAGGCTTCCTTGCTGAGGCTAAGTCTTCGTCAACTCCTAATAGTAACAAGGGCTGTTACTGAGTTGCAGAATAACCAAATAACGCTGCAACCTACACTTTGTCTTGACAATCCAAGCTTGAAACAAAGCTGCTGCTCGCAGCCTCTTGGCCCACCCCTCTGCCTGCTCGTCATACCAAGGGGAGATACTAGTTCCCTTTTCCAAGTCTCGCCCCTCAGTCCCACAAGTTCCCTGTGTTTACAAATTCTGCCTCATTTGCAAAGAAAATTTCGGGGCGGGGCGGGGGGGGGGGGTCAATCAAGCACCTGCAACACGTGAAGCAGTGGTGGTGGGGTTTCCAAGAGTCATGAAGTGGGGGGGGGGACACCCCATGTCCTTATGTCCCTCTAGCCCTCTCTCCCTTGCCTCTTCACTGCCTGGCACAATGCACAAGTTTACCCCCAAACTGGATCCTATTAAATAATTCAATGGTAGCGGTGCAATTTTGGTTGGAACCAGCACGGATTCCCAAGTCGTGACTGCAAAAAGTGAGTAATGCGCGCTGGCTGCGTCATGGCTCTAGTCACAGTTCATTCCGAACTGAGAAGGAATCGTGACTTCGCCTGGAGACGTCCCCTACATGGGAGTTGGGGAGGGGGGGCAAAGCAGGGGCCAACGGGGGTGGGGGAAAGACCTATCCAATGAAAACCTCTGTCAGGGGGTGTTGCATTTGAACACTGCACGCAGTGCCGCTGTCCCCTCTCTGCCCGCTGCACCGCCCCCCCCCCAAGCCAGCGCTCTCTTGCGGTGCTGGCTTGCCTCTCCCGCTCCCCAACGAGTCCTCAACAAGTTGGAGGAAGGCAGGAGCGCAGGGGTTAAGCTCGGGAAGCTGCAATTACCAAGATCGTGACCCTCCCACACAGTACAGTAACTTATATACTTACCTGGAGGAGCCCGCTTTGCCGCTGGGCAAACACTCGTGGGGGAGGGGAGGGGCAGGAGGGGAGCGGGCTGGCCAGAGAGGGCTGCTTCCAGACGGCTGAAGCGCACACCGAACCAATGAACTCCCAAGACTCCCGGACTCAGGTAAGAAGAAAGGATTTGGAGCTCTGGCCGCCTGGTGGTCGGTAGGCTCAATGGTCGACCCAGCAGAACTTTTTTCCCCAATTGCCCCGCGCCACGCCAGCGGCAGGCGCAGACTGTGGAGCCCCCTCTGGCGTGGCGCTCAGACGCTGGGAGGGTGTGTGCTTGCGTCTTTCAGTAGCTGAGCCAAGCAAAGGGGATGCAGTGGGAGGGTGGGTGGGTCGCAGAAGTGTAGGAGGGTGATAGATGGGTGGAGGGGGTAGGCCGACAGGAACTTGGGGGACCAAGACTGAGGTCTGGAGATGCATCCTGTGGGTATGATGGGCCAAGGGCGTGTGTGTGTGTGTGTGTGTGTGTGTGTGTGTGTGTGTGTGTGTGTGTGAGTCTACCCACACGTCGATTGCCCGGGTGGCCAAAAAAAAAAAAAAAAAAGAAAGAAACAACAACAACAACAAAAACTTTTGCACCCAAGTTCTTGCAATGTTTGCAGTAAACCACCCAGACTTAGGTTTTCCCCACTGGGAGATGACACCACTGGAGAGGGAGACAGACGTTTATTTGATCACATCCTTCTTTGGCATTCCTGGGGCTAGGCAAGAGGGGACTGGGAATTGGATGGCGCTTCGCAGTAAAGAAGAGAGCATCCGCTGGAAGTTAGGATAGATGGAATGGGGGAGGGGCCCAGAAGGAAGGAAGGAAAGCGGGAAGAGGAGAGACTGTGCCCCCTCCTTCCTCTCCAGTCTCTCTTCCCCTCCCTCTTGCAGATGCTGGAATCTCCTGTCGCTGTGGCAATCAGTGCCCAGCTCACCCTTTCTTGTTCCCCCAACGTTTTGCAGAATGGGGAGTTGGGGGGGGGATGCAGCAAGGAAGGAGCACCTGAGGCAAATGGACCATCTGGATGGGGTTTTTTTGGGGGGGTCGTGCGGAGGGGAGGGCTTCACCCTTCTTAGTGAACATTCAGAACTTTTGGGGGGGCAGAGTGGGGTAGGGGAACTCGAGAAAGTCTCATTTTTCTAGAAATAGGCCAACTAGAGTGGGGTTTGAGCTTATTTCATGTTCATCTTTGCCAGTCATTTTCCGTCTGGTTCTCCTGGCTTAGGTCCCGGTGGAAGAGGTCGCTCTCTTGAATCCCTCTTTCCCAATATACACTGCCACCCCCTCACCTGGGCTAGAATGGGAGGGAGTCATGGACAGTTTTTGCAACAACAATATTTTAATGTGTTCTAGTCTAGGTTTTGTTGAATAATTAGAAATGGAAATATTTTTCTCCCTCCCCCTTCTGAAAAAAAAAAAAAAAGAAATGTGAGCTCTCTTCTGATTGGTGGGTGACGATTTTAGTCCACACCAATGAGGTGGCGGCCTTGTCTGTATTTATTTAGTGCTCTGGGGGAGTTTTTCTCTTTACGCAGCGCCTGTAGTCACGGCTGGAACCTCTGCTGGGGGACTAGGAAGGATAGGAGGGGATTCGGGGGAAATCTGGACCGTACCTGTTCAGAGATCCACGACCTTGCAGCCAGGGCTAGCAGAACGCTGATACGGGAATTGGGTGTTAGACTAGATAGGGTCGGAGGCTCGGGGTGCTAGAGCGAGAGGGGTGGAGGCTGGGCTCAGGGATCTGGGGTCCCCCTCCGAGCTACCCTTCTCGCCTTCCACTACCTCTTGAGGTTGTGCAGGGCTGAGTCGGAGGATTTCGGACTGTCTAGAGAGAGAGAAGGATGGGTCTGGGGACGCGAGGAGGGAAGCGCGGCGCGCAGGGTGGGGAGGTTGAGCCGCGGAGGAGCGCGCCGGGGACATCCAGCCTCCTCGGCTTCGGGGTTCGGAGACGTGCTGGGCTAAAGGCGGCGGCGGCGGCGGACCGAAGAAGCGGGTAGACTGCCCTTCGCGAATCTTTTTGCGGTCTGGGCTTGCTGTACATAACTCAAAAGCCGGAAGCCCTTACCCCAAAAAGCATTCGCGGAGGGCGCGCTCGGCGACATGACTGCAGCTACCAGCGACCGCCCGAAGCCGGCACCTTCCCGAAGCGGCTCCATCCGAGAGTTCCCCAGTCTTTCTCCCCGTTTTCCACGGAAAAATCAGCTCTTTCCTTCCTGTCCTTTCCACGCTCCGGGAGGCTTTGGTCACTCGCCTTCCCGCGGCGTGTCCCCCGCCCCCAACTTTTTAATCGACTTTGTATCACAGGGGAAATTGGAGAGGATGGCGTGCGTGTGTTTTCGAAGAAGTGAGAAGAAGCTAAAATGTAATAAAAGTTTACAGAAGTTGTATCGTTCCCCCACACCCCACATCCCAAATATCCCCACTCACACAATAAAAAGTGGAGGGGGGCATGGTTATAGGGCCAACTCAGCACCTGGAATATGAATCAATTTAGGACATTTTACGGTCATTTTTGACCCAAAGGATTAGAGTCTGCAGTATGGGGGGGGGAGGGGAAACCCTTGAGGGAGGGGCGGTAGGCCCTAAGCATCCTCGGTTAGGATGCGCCGAACCTGGAGGAGGTGAGATGAACCTCCGTGAATCCGGTAGCTCCGAAAAAGAGGGGGAAACACCCAGGCACCGCCCGCTCCCCGGAGCCTTCCTTCTGAACCTTCTTCCACCCTGATTTCAGGCATGTTGCAGGCTCCAGTACCCACCCATCTCCTCTTTTTCAAAACTAAGTAGCTCAGAAGAGGATAAAACAGGCGGAAACTAGGGAAAACCCCCGCGGGGAAAGAGCTTCTGGGAGCTGCGGTTGTTTAGCAGTGGCGGCCGTAGCATCCCCATGCTGGCCTCTCGAGGCGCCCGGACCTGGGGAGGGAGGCAAGCTGCAGAGGGGAGAGCCCGTGGGCCCCCCTCCTCCCCCTTCACTCTTTGCAGTCGTGACCACTTCGGTTACAAGTGGTACAAATCAGGCCTTCAACACGTTTTGTGCCCCGTGCCCTTCGCTAGCTAGGAACACTGCTAGACGCCCTTGCCCTTAAGGACTGGGCCAGAAGGACACACCAGACACACGCAAGTGCCCATGGAGATGAAAAGTAGCTAGGGAATGGGTCTAGGGATGTGATAGCCCATGACCCCAGGGCTGCGAAGCTACCCGTTTTCGGGGAGGGCCTGAATTTCCCCCGCATCCTAACCTTTCTGCTTTCAACAAACTCTGTGCACCATTATTTCTGGGTCCCGTAGTTACCCACCCAGACTCTACCCTCTCTACCCTCTCCTGAAAAAAGGGAATGGCTCAGGGATGCTGAGAATGCTGGACAGAGGCAGCCGGTAATTGCTCAGTACGTGAGAAGGCACAGAACGTGAGGACTCCAGGCTCCAGGACTAAATCAGGGTCTCCCTCCCCAGATAAAGGACTTTTTCCTTCTCCGAATGCATTTTCTGAAAGAGTAAAAGGATCTCAAAGATCTGGACAGGCGGTGGAGAGGGAGCAAAAGCTGGGGGGGATTTTCTTCCTGCCTCTCACCTGGGGCCGTCTGTGGAGCGATAGCTCTCGGAGGGAGAAGCAGGAGAGCCACGTTAGATTAAAAATAGCTTCACCCTGTGTCCTTTCACCTACTCCTTTGTCTTTTGCTTACTGTATCCCACCTCCTCCGCCCCCCACCCCCAGCCAGGAAGCCCTTCCCTCTCCAAAAGCCTGACCATTCACCAGATTTGGGAGCGAGGTGACCTTAGAGAAGTGAACTCGTATAGAAGGGCTTGAATAACCTGAGCACAGGCTTCTCGGAGCTCCTGTGCCCCCAGTCCCCTCATCTCTCCCACCCGGGCTACACTTGGGACCGGAGTTCCAGGGCCCTAGAGCACGGCAGCGGAAGGCGTCGTGCGGCAGCGAGTCCTCGCCTCGCCTCGCCTCAGCCAGACAACTGTTGCTGTCTGAAAGCCGCCGCCGCCGCCGCCGCTGCTGCCTAGCAGCTGCAGCCCAGAGCCGAGGCTGCTCACTTTGGGTCCTGCTGGGGGTCTGTGAAGGGGGGGGGTCTCTCATTCCGGGAAGGACAGTGCAAATATTCCTTTCCCCTTTCTCCTCAATAAGTGAAAAATCAGTGGCTTTTTGCATCTTTTCTCTCCTGCGTATGGTGATTACATCACTTGAGGACAGTGGGAGCCCATTGCCCCCTCTGAACCCAGTTTGCCGTTGTTGAGGGAGGCAGGCAAAGGTTGTGGGGGGGGAGGCATAATCTCTTTAGTCATTAAACTTCTAATGCATAGCCCCTCACCTAGTGAGTCAGGGGCCTTGATGGAAACTTCTAGGCGCTTGCATCTGACGCCAACCCCCGAAGGGGCCTGTAGAAGAGCCGGCAGCCTCTGGCTCCAATCTGCTTTTCACTGGGAGTGAGGTAGATGGGGTGCTGTGGGAAGTATTAGCAAAGCTGCAGTGAAGACCTAGTCCCCCCCCAAGCCAACTAACTAATGTAGCTTTTGCCTGTCTTAAAAATCAAGACTAGTGATTTTCTCCGGAGGTAAAAATAGGGTAAAGGAGGCACAGGACCCCCGCCCCTCCCCTCCAGTCCCCCTGTCTTCAATGAGAAGAGGCAAGTGACCCAAGCCAGGCTGAGCTGTCTCATTTGGGGCCCACTTTACCTGCTGTGGTTTTCACTGTTCCAGCCGCTCGCCCAACGTCATTTCAAATGTCTCCCCCCGCCCCCCGACACACCACACACACACACATACATACATACATACATACACACACACACATACATACACACACACACACACACACACACACACACACACACACACACACTGTATTGCCCCCTTCAGTCTTCTATTGGGGATGTATGCTTGCTCTAAGTTGCTCTGTTTTGCCTGTCTCAGGCTAGAGGCGAAGGCAGAGCCTGATTTCAGGCATACTTCCTGCAGTGTCAGATTATCTCCGGGACCTCTCAACAGCAAGATGCATTGGTCATCTCTGAAAAGCTCTCCTCTTGAACCAGCATTGCCCCCTGCCCTGGCAGCTCTTTTCCCTTCTCACCAGCCTCCCACGCCTTGACTGCCTGCAATATACCCCAGTGCACAGTCTCACACTTGCTTCTCAGGCAGCTAAGTAACCTTGCCCATATTGTTGCCTTTTAGGTAGTCGAGCCTGTCCTGATACCGAGTGGTGGCACGAGGGGTGATCACCCAAGCGAGGCAGTCTCAGAGGTTACAGAAGCTGGAAAGCCTGACTGAAGGATCTCAGGAGTCCCAGGTGAGTGGAGAGATGCCAACCCATGCATGGCCTTCGCTGGGGAGCCTCAAGGCTTCCCCATGTATTCCTTCCATGGCCAGAAGGCAGCAGTGAGGGGTCTAGCATTTGGAAACAGTCCTCAGAGAAATGCATCCATCAAAGATGGTCAGCAGAAAGACAGCACCAAAGAGGCAAACCTACTTCTGATCCTAGAAGCAGGACTTGGGTGTGTTTGGAGGCTCCCACAACCACCAGTTCTGAGGGACAATGGCCTTATTTAGTGAGACCTACGATTCAATCTTCCTTTCATCTTCTAAGCTGTTTCAGGCCCCCTAAGGAAGGGGAAGTTAAGGAGTCTTTTGCTGTGGTCAGTTTCTTCAGAGATACCAATAAGCTAAGTGACATCTCAGTGGAGCTCAGCTTAGGATGGATAGAAAAACTTTTAGGCTAATGATTCCTTGGTGCTAGGGAGGGGAAAGCAACCAGAAAATCTCCTTGCTTCTGAATTTTCACTTAGCTGGCTTTCCAGGCTTCAGTCATACTTTGATTCTTACTGGGGGATTCAGTTCAAAGCTTGAAAGAGACTGAAAGCAGGGACTGGTAGAATTGTGAGGAAGGGAGAAACAGACCTACCAAGCTAATCCTTAGGTGCCACCTGAGCCCAACTAGGAAGCTGCCTTAAATCTTAGAGGGGGGGGGGCTGAAAGAACAGAAGCATATTGCACTGAAGAAAACCTTCAGATTGTTAAGTCATGGACTGACTTGCTATATTAATTCAATGATGGTCATAGGGATTTTTAAATTTTTTTACAATTTGAGAGCAGAACTCAAATAAAAAAGCAAGTTGACTGGAATCTTCTATAAATCCCACCATGTAAAGTGAGGGTAAAGCTGTCAGATTGCTGGCTAGTCCTAACTTCTTTTGAATTCCTCCTCTTACATATAAGGATCTGAGGTTCCCAGAATATATCATTGAGAAATAGGTTATGTTAATTCTAAGAAGTTAAGATCAACTCACTTTCCTCCTCAATTGATATTCCAGCTGACCTGTGAGGACAGCTAAGAAAGCAATATTGGGGAGGTATGGTTTTCTTGTCTGTAGGTTAATCTGTTTTAATGATGTTGGAAGAATCCACTGATGGCTTAAACTTCAAACTTAGTATAGTATATAATATAGATATGGTATGCAAAAACTGGGAGGTCTCATATAATATAAACATTAATGCCAATCTCTCCATTTTATTTATATATTGAGTTGCTTATGTAATTTTACGTAGATCACTTAGCTGGGACTCCAACCCACATGGTCTTCTCTGGGTTTTCATTTATTAGTCACTAAATATTGCCTATCACTACCAAACCATAGAGATTATTCATAAATACAATGCAGGATGTCATAACAGATTCCTTTCCCAAAATGGCTTGCATTTAGAACGCAAGGTTTCAAGGGAGTATTGATAGCAAGTCTCTCTAGCTAGGAACGTCCTGGGGGCATTGATAGAAGGTTAGACCGGCCCTCATCTCTTCCCTGAGACACTCACCATGCTACTTTGAGGTTCTGAGCAAGTCTCAGCCCAAGAAAGTTGCTGTGTCATAGAATCCCAGTGCCGGTCATTTTCAAAGCCTCTGCCAGCAGGAAGGAGCTTGATGAGATGAATACCCCTCTTTCTCATTTTTTTCTTCTTTCTTGGGGAGCAGAGTACCTGAATTAGCTTTTCTTGTCTGATGGCTACATTGTGATCTGGTAACATGGTTGTAGGCCCCATTTGAATTCTCCTGGGAGCCTTCTCACCATGGGAGATCTATTTGATTCTTGTCCCTCGGGTTCGTTCTTCCCCATTCTTTTCTTCTCTGTTTTACGTTTACTTATATTATGCATCTGTGTGGGTGTACACGTTACAGCCCCTGGGCATAGGTCCGAGGACAACTTGCCGGGGTCAGTTCTCTTCTCCCACCATGTGGGTTTCAGGAGTCACACTCGGCTCCTTTGTCTGCTGAGCCATCTCATAGACTGTTCTTTTCTTTTTTTTTTTTTCTTCTCCCTCTCTTTTCTTTCTTCGGTTAATTCTGAAGACCACCTGCTAATGGGATAGTTATTTGCCAAGATCAGTTTGCAACTTAAATTTTAGCCTTCTCCCAGACCTGAGTTTACTGTTTGCCTCATGCACTTTCGCCAATGGCAGCCATGTTGACGCCATGTTAATTATATCCTCAGGACATATATATGTGGGAACAGCAGCCGTGATGTGTGGGCTAGCTCAGATCCATGGCTGTAGTGGCCAGCTCTAAGGGCTCTCACAGCTTTTGTTTCTCCCAGATGCACTTAGTGCTGGCTTCTAACTAGGAAGTAAGATTCTGTGCTTCAAAAAGAGACAAGGAGAAAAAACACCAAGTGATACAAGGTGAAAATAGGTTTGTAAATACTTAAGAGTACTCAGGCTCATGCAGGTTATGAATCATCTATGCCCCTCTTAGGCCTCAATTTCTCCATCTGTAAATGAGGCATTCACACCCTTCTCATCCTTGCACTGACTCTGCTGCTGTTGAACACGTAGTTAACAAAGACTTATTGAGTCCCTACAGTGTGTATCAGGTCTTCTCCTCAAGCACTGGACTTACAAAGAAATCATTCTTCCTTTAATAATCTGATGGAAGCAATAGACTCTACTTTCCTGAAAAGAAAAGCATAAACATTTTATAAATTTTTCAGGGATTTCTATATAGCCCTGGTCTCCATGGGCCTTATGTTTCTCTAGTCTTCAAAGGCTTTCAGTTTATGGTATTAAGATTTGAGTTTAGGGCCGGGCGGTGGTGGCGCACGCCTTTAATCCCAGCACTCGGGAGGCAGAGCCAGGCGGATCTCTGTGAGTTCGAGGCCAGCCTGGGCTACCAAGTGAGTTCCAGGAAAGGCGCAAAGCTACACAGAGAAACCCTGTCTCGAAAAACCAAAAAAAAAAAAAAAAAAAAAAAAAAAAAAGATTTGAGTTTAGGGTTCATCATCAAATCTTGAGTTTAACTCCTTCCCTCCTCCCCTTTCTCCTTTTTTAAAAAAAAAAACTTAGCTTCACTGTTGCTCTCTCTCTCTCTCTCTCTCTCTCTCTCTCTCTCTCTCTCTCTCTCTCCCTCCCTCCCTCCCTCCCTCTCTCCCTCCCCCCGCCCCGTGTGTGTGTGTGTGTGTGTGTGTGTGTGTGTGTGTGTGTGTGTTGTGATGTTTGGTCCTTTCTGGTTTGAGAACAAGCATTTGGAATGTAATAGAGCACTTGTTTAGAACAAATACAGACCTGGCCTGCCAGCCAATGTCTGAGAAGCAAAGTGGATGTGGGAGAAGAGGGAGGCTGATGTCCAAACCAGCCTAGTCCTAGGCATCTTACAGAGATAACCCATCTTTTAGGTAGTGTTTTTGGCAGAGTTTGAGGGCTGGTGAAAGGAAGACAAGTTTATGTGAAGCTGTGCAGTGATCCACAACCTTAGGGTTCACAGCAAAGACAGATTTCCTTGAATGCCTTTGACCACGACGCAGAGTCACAACTAGCCAGAGCCTCTCAAAGGGTCCCTTGAAAAGGAGAGTCCAGGCCTGTGAGGTTAGTGGACTGACAACTTCCAGATAACACAGCAACAGACTTTAGGGCAGGCAGTTCTGCTAATGTCTCTAAGAAGAAGAAAATGGATGTTATCGGGAAGGGGATTGTTCTTTCATTTGTTTGTAGTGCTGAGGATGAAGCCCTGGCCCTTCTATGTGATGCTTAAGTGCTCTACCACTAAGTTACAGCCCAGCCTGAAAACAGGCATGTTAAAGGCTCAACCAAACATAGAAAGTCAGAGGGCAGACTAGTTTTTCAGACTAGTTCTGGTCTTTAAGAGATTTTTTTTTCATCTGTCTTTAGTGCCCCTAAAATTCTGCCTTTTAGTGAGGAGGCCAGGGGTCATTTGCTGACTCTAGTACTGATCAGATGTTAATGTATCTGTGAGTGGGAGCGGGGAGTCAGATGCTCTTATTCCACGTTAGTCCTTGAACAGCCAATGGGAGTCACTGCTGGGAGATGATCATCTTTGAAAAGGCCAGATGAGGGCTACAAAAGCTTTGTGTCGAATTGTCAGAGGGTGGGGTGAAGTCTATGAATTTCCAGTTCAGCAGGAAAGAAGTGGGTTGGTACTGTGAAGTTAAGCTGTAAGAATTCATAGAAGATAAATCACGTGCTGTCATTTTCTCAACTTCCTCATCTGTAAAATGGGGATCATAATGACACCTGTTATCATACTCTGTCGAGAATTAAATGAGATTGTGCATGTAAACTGCTTTCCATGTAGTGCTCAGTACATGATAGCTCTTTCTAATCTTGTCACTGTTATTATGGTTGGGTTTTTTTCCTCCCAATTGATACATACGGCAATGTCATAAAGGCTTAGCCCATAGACTCAGGAACTATGGGACCAGAGCTATTCCCAGAGTGACAGATTAAAAAAATCATATTTTTTTTTAGAAGCATCTGTCCATTTGCTCCATAGCCTGCCAGTGCCCAGGATTATCCAGGCCAGGAGCCGCAGAGGGGCTCATAAGAAGGTCTCTTCTCCTTCACATGCTCCCTTGTAGACCACTGCTTTCCAGTTTTATCTCCCCTTTAATGCTGTGACTTCCTGGGTTTTTTTTTTTTATGACTGAATTTAATCGCAATTGTTTTTGCAAACCTCTCTTTGACCTTAAAAAATGAAAGAAAACAGAAAACCCCACCCTTCTGTCTGTCCAAAAGCCAGTCTACCTAAGGCTCTTTCCATTCAAGCTTTACTCACAGCCGATTGCTAGTGTAAATGTTCTGAGTCCGGGCAATTTCCCCCAAGGATTAACAGAAGTCGTGCTTTTGTGAGCGATGGTTTCTCATCCCCTCCCATGAATGGTTTATCTTCTTTGTTTTCTTCTTCTAAATTCACTCTTCAGAGTCTCAGAAACCTGAGTGTCTTCGACGATCTTCTCGTTCTCCATATAGTTTGTCCTCCTTGGGTTTTTTTTTGCATATTGATTGTAA